AGTACAAGTTTTTCAATAGCTTTGGTACAGGATTTTTCTGTACCATGGATAGTCTATTAAATTTGTATACTGCGCATGGCTTTCTACTGTACCGTCTACCGCGCATAGTACGTGCGCTTATAATATACAGTGGAGATATGTATGTATATATATGTGTGCATACTTGCATACATGTATGGGATTGTCATTGTTATTTTGGCTCAATATGTAAATTGTTCTTTGCGAGTGAAAACCAATTATTATACGCAACAGGAAAGTGACTACAAGTGCTTACTGCACTTATCATTATATCTTGTTAGATTCGTATCAATGTATTGAACTTTTACAGCTACGTATATATATATAAACCGACATTCTAAATGCTCCCACTGGCCGACTAACTTTCTGTACTGGTACAGGAAAAACCCGTACCACGTATCGGATTTTGATGTACTAAGTATAACGTTTATCTATACTCACTAAGGTACTTTAAAGTATACTACCGTACCAAATATACCTGTACCAGTACACATTTTTCTTGTACAGAGTATCGAAAATACTTGTGCTAACATATAGAACCTGTTTTTCTGGTAACAACAATCTTCCGTGCATGTACGTTCCAAGCGCTGCCTCAGACAGCTACTTCCCTAGACCTCTACAGTACAGCGTTGCTTTGAACTGTACGAGTCCAAAGTTAGGAATGCTGTACTAAATGCGTTTCAAGCATGTTTGGGCTCTCTTAAGCTGGACCCCTGTACTCTCACGGTACAATTTTTTTTTTGCGTGGCAGTTAATTGAGTCTTCACCAGTCACCAACTCTCAAGATGCAGGACAAGTCGTCGCTGATCATCTATTACCGTTGCAACTACCTAACTCTCAGGATGCGGGGACGTTCACCGCTGATCGCCTTTTTCCATCGCTGCCAGTTGAAGAACAGCTGGGTGAATTAGTTGAATATTTGCAAAGTGATGACCGCAACGACGATGATTTATTACTGCAGATATTGACCGCTCACCCGACATCACCGTTATTACTCGATGAACCCTTTCCACCTGTAAGTCCTACTCCTTTATTTACGGAGGAGTTCGATGAACAGCATCAAGTCGCTAGACGTCAAACATCACCGCCACTTCCTTAACTTCCGCCCATAATTGACCTCACGTGGTCACCGGAAAAAAAAATCAGTGGTATCAAAGGCAACGTTGCCGAATGTTGACCCTATACCACCAGTAATACAAAATACACTTTTGCCGTTAATATCACCATCAAGCCCAACTCTTTCATTTACGGAGGAGTTCGGAAAGCTGCATACTAGTCATCGGGCAACATCACCGTCACCGCAAGCTGCATCACCACTAATAATTGATCTTACATGGTCACCGGTAACAATTGGTGATGTCCGAGGCAACGTCACCAATAGTTGGCCCGAATAGTGAGGTATTGCAGCCTCTGGATTTATCAACTAAAAACCTCAGTCAGCATGATAATATTCCACTACCACCACCACCAGTTGAGCTTAACAACTCGATAACCGTCACCAAAAAAAAAGAAAAGAGGAACAGTAGCATCAATGGAGGAAAGAAAAAAAAGTATGTCGAAGTATTATACAAAAATTAAATTTAATCAAAAAAATGTAAGACAAATATTTTTATCACTTGAAAAATAAATGGTAAAACAGTTAAATAAACAAAATTTGTTTTTAACGAAAATTACGTAATGATTTAAAAATTCCATCCTTGTCCCATTCGTGTTCGTATTTATTCATATATACCCTCTCTTTGTAATAAGTATTGGTTGTACTGCACGTAAAAGAGCGTATGACTGAGATTTTTCGGTCACAAATAAAAGATACTTCTGGCTGCTGACGTACCCTACAGGTAAGTGTATTGTTGGATTTCTTAGTTATACGTAAAAAGGTAATACAAGATAACTCCTACTGATGATTTCACTGCTGCTACTGTTATTTGCAGATGATATTTCTGCTGTGCGTAAACAGTCCACCAATAAAAAAATTATACATAGGCTGGTAGTCAAATTTGAACCAAGGACAAATAATTCACGAAACCGATCCACAAACAAGATAATTCCTACTGCTGTTATTTTGCTGATTCTATTTCTGCTGTTCATAAGCAGTCCACCCATAAAAAATCTATACATAGTCAAATTTAGACTAAGGACCACTCGATCTAAAGATACAGTGCTACATTTCTAACTCTAGTCCTACCCTATTACCTACTTATTATAAATTTTAAACTAAAAATATTTATAAAAATATATACATACACGCATCGTACGTAAGTATTCATCTATGTATGTAGATGAACATGCAGATGTGTACATATATTACCTTAGAGAGGTAACACTTATTCGTCATACCTCACAGATATAAGCGCGTGGTTGGTACTCTCATCCAAACATACAAAACACTCTCCTACAGGCTAACCAGAGAGAAGGAAGCTGCGCATAACCTCTAGCGCTTTGTGTAGAGTCATGGCTGTCTGCGCACGTGAGCTGGGAGGGGGATGTGTGCTGGTATCGGCCTAGTTTATCGACTACCTTGTTCGGGAAACAGTAAGTAACTGTCTTCTTTTCTGGGCTTGATTAATTTTCATGCTAGATTTTTGCGGGATGGATCAGCAAAATTAAGACCACTTTTTGAATCCGCAGCAAAAGAAGAATTAGATTGGACAGAGGAATGCGTGGAGGCCTTTGAAGGAGTTAAAAATGAGTTAGTGTCTCATTGCTATGGTCACGGAACCGAACGACGTACGCTTCAAAGCGTATTCTGGACAAGGAGCCTAATAGGGCAATCAATGATAAAGAGGCAAGTGCAATAGTCTTTGGATTTACGAAATTTTATAATTTTGTTTATGGCAGAAAAATCATTATAAGTACAGATCACACGCACCTAGAGACAATTTTCGGACCACAACAAGGTATTTTCTTTGACTACAGCAAGCAGACTGCAGCGTTGGGCGTATTTCTTTTTGAGATTCAAATACGTAATGTGATTGATCAGCTCAAAAAATAATGCAAACTATGACGCATTGTCACGGTTACCTATTAACGATAACACCGTCGCTTTCGGTACAGACTGTACACAGGGACATTATGGATCCAAGACGGTTCGGGTATTTGACTTTTAAAAAATACAATTAGAAACTTAAGTTTTGGTTGGCCGACGTGTAGCACCAGGCTCTGAAAAGAAAAAAAAATATTTTAGTAAAAGGAATCAATTTTGGGTCGAAGAAAGTTGCCTTTTTGGGAATTTAAAACCATAATATTGATTTGTCTGAGAGAATTTCTGTCGCGAGACTTTTATGTATTACACCTTGGCATTGTTTAAATTAAAACTTCAACACGGTCTTATGTTTGGTGGCCAGGTATTGACGTGGGTATAGAGGATATGGTTGAAGCATGTACGTTTCGTGTACAAACTCAAATGGCGCCATCACATGCGCTGCTTACACCTTCGCCATGGCCAGAGAAGGCATGGGATAAGGTACATTGCAATTTGTTAGTGGTAGATGCTTATTTAAATTATCCGGAAGTGGTCAACTTCCAATAAAACACTTAAGCGAACAGGTTAATAGCAGTTATCATAACGTTAGTATATAATATTACTACAATAGTTATGGAGTTATAATTAATAGCTATTATGACTGAAAATTACGGAGTCTCGGGTGGTTAACGCATTAAAGGTAGGATTCGAAAAAAACTTACACTCCCTACATTTCAAATAGAAATAGCAGCCAGCGTTGTAACGAAACGACATTGAGAGCAAATTGTTAACATAGTATGACAATCTACTTAATGAGCGCACAAGGTTTCTGATTTAAATTAAAACAAGGGAGGTATTGTGATATATTGATAGACCGCGGCGCGCGGCGTTGTTAGTCAAAGATACGAGAGGTGAGTATGACTAACGCGATGATAAGCAGAACGCGTGAGTTCATATATAACAGCACTTGAATAAAGACCTACTTACTACAATACACATTCTATCTTATTACACCACTCTCGCTTCCCAACTTCTTGGCAATACCCACAGCCTATGACTTTGACAAAAGATGGACAGCAGGTTATGTTTAACTTTGTCCTTATTTATAGAATCATCTTTAAAATTGGTCAATTATTTTATGTACAATAAGACTTTTCTTGAGAACTATGTAAGCCAAAATATTAAAAACAATTATATTCATTAAAAACGTTATTGATAAGTGTTTTTGAAGATTGTTGATTTTTCAATAGCAATACATAGGATGCGTGACCACGTTTCTAATCTAAAAGTCAGACTTATTTTTTGCACCCTCCACTAACGGTAGCTAAACGTTTTAAAAGTTATTATGCATCAACTTTGTATTTTACTTTATCAATGTTTAATTTGTTAATTGTTATTAATAATAGTTATGCTTCAATATTAAACTAATTTTTCTTTGCTTGATTCTTATAAAGCTTGAGAGCAAAACGAAAAAATGGATCAACAGTTAGATAAATATTCTTCACTTTCTATTTTGTCTCCATTTCAAAGGAATAATTAGTATCGGATGAGTAATGGCTGCGCTTTTAGCGCAATCACTAATTAGAATATTAATACATTATTCTGAAATGATAACTTTTATCATCTCCTTTTTCAACCAAGTTATGATCATTTAGAGATGAATAAGAGAATGTGCACTGAGCAGAGTGCTCATTTTAATGTTTATAGAAAAAAGTTTGTTCTTAATACTACTGAAAAAATTCTGATTATATAACGAAACAATATTGATATGTTAAATAATAGCATACAACATCTGTATTATCAAAAAGAAACTTTGCCGCTTATTTGCTAAGGTGTTGGTAAGGTATTACTGAAGAATATTTATACTAAACAAAAACTGATTATTGTTGAAGACGTATATTGTAAAACAAAATTAATTAGCTTAAAAATATCTTTTACCAAATGATTAAACAAGTACAGAGTATAGTATTCTTACAATGACTAAAGAGGTTCAGCATAGGTAAAAAAATGGATACGAATCTTTTTTTTTGTTTTTAAAAATCTTTATTGTTGGATAACAGATTTAATACTTTATCTGTTTGATTTAGCAACTCGCTCAAGTTCATCTTTTTTTTTGATAGCATAAGAATTAGAAGAACCTTTTGCTGCATTTATAAGCTCATCAGCTAAGCATTCAGCAATAGTTTTAATATTTCTAAATGCTGCCTCTCTAGCTCCAGTACACAATAACCAAATTGCTTGATTGACGCGACGCAAAGGCGAAACATCAACTGCTTGCCGACGGACTGTACCAGCTCTACCAATTCGAGTAGAATCTTCACGTGGTCCAGAATTTATTATAGCTGTTACAAGAATCTAGAACAAAAAGTTATTTAACAATTTTGATAGTTGATAACACTTTGTTTTCAATACTTATCAATTAAAAAATAAATATTACTCAATATTTCATTTTCAAAAATGATTAAGCTAAAGTTTGGCGATTAATTTTATAGCCGAAATTGGAATATACTTGTAATTTTTTAATATAAAATCAGTGAAATTGTTGAATCATAAATGACTAATAACTAGAAGCTACTTAATCAGGACTTTCGAACACTAATAATTTGAGAACAAGATATACTTTTAAATTTTAGATAAACTTAATAACAACAATAACGCGAAGGACGTATAGTTACGACTAAAATTATCAGGCTAAAAGACATTAGATAAAATTTGATTTAACAAATTTCAGATGGCAGTAATCGGATAGTGAAAAAATGACACAACAAGTGTGTGGGCATGCGCTAAATTAAATTTTCGTTAGAGTTGTGCCCAAATTCAATGATGTCGTTAAACATGACTGTAAATTACACTAGAATATTTTCTGAAAACTTCGTTTTTACAAGTTTTTAAAAGCCTATCTAGTGTACCCTAGTACAGTTTGGCACATTGTAAAAAAGGGTTCGTTAATTTACTACCAGCGTTGGAAAAAATCTTACATTTAGCGTTGGCTAGTATATCTTTTTTTTTAACATCCTGGGTTGTAAAATTACGAAAATTTTTTACTGTGCAGACAGCTTTGGTAACTACTACTAGAGACTGCTTAATCCCTTAAAAAGTTTCTCAAGATTGAACTCAGGGCATTGTTTTGAAAGAACAAAATAACGACAATAGAAGTCACTTTCCTGAAAGAGCACACACATCACGATATTCTTATGCAGTTTTCTGGTAAACCAAAGCTTAAGTTGTGGTATTGAACATTCACTATTATGAGGTAAACAAAAAATCTGTTAGTCAATCTGTTGAATTATTGGTTAAAACTATGAACAATTGATAAAAAACACAATGAAACAAAGCTTATTCTATGACGCATTTTTATGTCTATTAACAGAGCAAATTACGATGTAGTTTTGGAGATGTTTCCACAATAGTATTGTGTGTTACTTGTGCATACAATCTACGGTAAGTCTATACCACGCATACTTTTACGGTTAGTTCGAGGAAACACTAGTAAATGAGATTCCAAAAAATAAGTCTTTACAGATGATTTGTATTGTGGGGTATGGAATACGCTACGCTGATTTGGGTACACTTTTTGAAAAACATTTTCTCAAGATTTTAGTGTAAAATTTTTTTTTCCTTACATAACTTTTCTAAAATTATGATTCCTGAGATTCTTTTTCAGTATATTTTACTTGTAAAATGGAATTTTTTTTTAAATTAAAAAAAAAGTGTTATTTCTCTTACCATGGGCATAGAGTGCAACTGCTGCGTTGCCCTCCTGGGTCACACCTGAAGCCGCGTTGGGTTCACATCAGTTTAGTCGTTTTTTCGCAAATAACAAAAAACGGCTATTTTGAGCCATTTCTTAGAAATTTAATAACTCGCATTCTATACAATATTTAGAGTTAAAATTTCAATACAAGACATATATCATAGCCCTTATCATACACACATAATTTCAGCATAATCGGTAATAAACTATTCACGAACCGCAGTCAAAACAAAAAAAAGGATCTCTCGAAAAATGGTCATAAAAAAGTTGTTAGCCAACATAGGTACATTTTTCAAACGTACTTTAACAATCAATTTTTAAGATGCTTCTAGTTGGTAAAAATAAATGGCATTTAAGGTACTTGTTGAGTAAATACAGACGAAGCGAAGTACTTTTGAAAAATTTACCTATGTTGGCTAACAACTTTTTTATGGCTATTTTTCGGTTTTTGCTGCAGTTTTTTGAGATTTGCGAAACAACGGCTGAACCGTTCTAAACCCAACGCGGCTAATTTTTTCGTCTTAAGATTGCAAACACTTTGTTATGAACGATCCTTTGTTTTCTAGACACGAAAAACATATTTTGGCCATTTTTGCCATTTTTTTGGAGCTTTTACTGACATTTCTACTCGTTGAATTATGTTCCGTTTTGTAATAATACATTGAAACTACTACTTTATTTTTTTTCGAGCTAGTTAAATTATCCTGGGCCGAAAAACTGACTTTACCAAACTAAGCACGGAGATACGCAAACCATGCTAAAGCAACTGGTGTGAGGGCGCCTTCTGATCCAAAACGAAAACCCAATGAAAAAAGAGTTTCGAAACTATATTGCAATATCTACAATTTGTAGATAACGACGATTTCATGATAAACCTTCGTAACATTTTGCATTATATAAAAATGTGTTAGAAAATATTTTACTAAAATTATATGCTTAGAAAGATCTGTGTTAGAAAATTGTATTGTAGAACCACAAAAATTAGAAAAATTATCTTTAGAAAATTTATTCTAGCAAAAGTGACCTACGTACTACGATTGGTGTGGCATTCAAAATTACAATGACTAACTTTAGGAACGATAAATTTGTTGAGTACGTTTACTTTTAGTTTTAGCTTGGGTCGATCAAATTTTTTTCAGCCTAAAAACTGATATCTTTCATTACAGTATTAAAAACTAATCAACAGCTTTCTCTGTTTAGAAATAATTAGACTATTTTGCTCATCTACTACGTTATTTTCTCGATGTCTCTTATTATGTTTTACCGTCTAGAATTAGTATCAATTATCCTGTTTCACATTTTTGATCTGGAAACAATTGTAGAGTTTGAGTGTTTTTGATATTGTTGAAGTGTCAAGGTTTTTCATTAGCTTTACTGATTTAACAGTTCTATTTTTACATAGCGTACGTAGCGTACATCTTATTAATGTGGCCTACCTGTGTAGTGTAGTAATAACGTATTATATATAATATACATTATAACAAAAATGATAGTAATAATTATTTGTTTACTAGACAAAAAGAAAAAGATGCAAGAAATCGTAAAGGCAGCAACAAAACGTTAACAAAAATACGTGCGTCTCTGGGCACTTGGCACTTTGGGGGCTGGGGATGAGAAGAGTAAGGGGATTCCGATTCGCATTTGGCAGGATTTTAGTCCTGTGGGTGGGGAAACCACTCGGGAAAAACCCATCCTGGAACGGCCGGTGTATTGCCCAAGTTCCAAACAAATATCTATATAGTCTAGACATTATGCCTGAACTTCTACACACCTCCTGCTCACGTTGTCGTAATGATTAAGAGACAGTCAATGGATCTGATTGATCACCAGCGCAAGCAAATGGAATAATCGTCGAGCAGTCACCCATCCGACTACCAACCACGGCCAACTCTACTTAAGCTCTCAAATCGGCGAGACTGCAACTCTACCGCTGCACCACCGTGTCAGTTAAAATAGCTATACTTAGTAAGAAGGCACAAAGCCAATTGAAAAGCTGCTTGCTAAATTTAAAGAAAGTCGTAAAGTAAAAACAAAGTAAATAAGATTCTGAAACATCTAATCATAACCTAGAAAGAAAGACCTACAGATAAGAAAAAAAGAGATAGTTGTGCTTGATTTATTTCTGATGAATCAGAAAGGTGTTGGTAGATGAACGAGAAAAGAGTCCTGAAGTACTGATGAGCCACTTACTATAATTTACCTCGTAAGAAAGAAAGAAAGGTTAACGAGGATCACGACAGAATTTTTAAGATTTTGTTCAGCATAGAGAATAGCAAATGAAGAAATTCTAAAAAAAAGATATTACTTATTCAGGTTACAGAAGGGCAAAATTTTGTTCGAGTTCTTAAAAAAAAAAAATGGTCAAACTTGAAGCCCGAGAAAGCAGACAATACGATTAAATGGGTTACCATAACCAAAAAGGGAAATTTTTTTCAAGGCAAAAGAAGTAAAGGATAGTAAATTCCTTATCAACAGTTAGGCAATGGCAGTAAAGGGGGGTTGGATAGGTAAAGAAAGATAAAAAAAGGTCACACTCGAAATACAGGACCTTAATCTATTGACGGAAAAAGAAGACGTCAAATCCACACTTGGCAAAGGTTCTTTGGGGAACAGTAACGGTACTGAGGGCTTATACAAATTAGCATAAAGTATTTTTAGGGAACGCACAAGAGACTAATGCCAGCAACACAGGAAAAATGAGGAACATACGAATAGGCTTTACTATCTGCTATGTGAGGAGATGCGACGAAACCGTAAGATGCTATACATGCTTGAAGTATAACAGATTAGCTGTGTAGGTACTGCTACAACTGCAGGACTCTCCTGCGATAGCCGCTGGGTGGCGCCAAACATTGATCGCTGTGGCCAACACTGCCATTTCGGCAGTGTTGTACTGCCGATACGGCTGTACAAGTTTTTTAGTGATAGTATACACAGAAGGTAGACGTGCTTACACGTAAAAATACCGTGCAGTACACACCATCTCACAAGGCGAATTCGCACGAGGTAGTAAGGTGTCGACTGCACTGTCTTACACAGTGCGAACCTTTTTGCTTGTATATTATCTGTTAACCGCAATTTAGTTCGGTTAACAAGCGTTAAAAAAGTTTTTTTTCCGCCACTTCCATATCTCCGTCCCTAGCAATGTAATATCATAGGTTTATTGGGATTAATTAGGAAATCGCTTTAGAAATTCAAATACCAAGACTTATCCGCTTAACATGGTGATGATATATTAACGTGCCCTTGCTTTGAAGATTAGTAAACGCAGTAAAGTAACTTTCTGTATGGCGCTATTCCACGTTACGCAATATACAACTTACTACCCTAGCATTACGTCATGAGAAAAAACTCATTTATAGATGAACAACAACAAACAAAATATAATAGGGGACCTAATATTTCGGACAACTTCAACTCGCTATGGCCACATAAGCAGAAAAATCAATGCGCAACTAATTTGATCCCATGAGTACGAGTAAGATATAAGTGGTACTTCCTTCTCTCTTGCTTCTACGAGCTTTAATATGTTGCGCAGCCGTCTATCCTGCATATGTGAACATAGCGAGCTTGACCCTTTAAAATAAAGGAATCTGCAATA